CCGATGGCTCAAACTCATGTGTGGCGCGTGTGTGTGTGTGTGTGTGTGTGTGTGTGTGTGTGTGGGGCCAGGATCCTGAGAAGAGAATGGAGGAGAAGAGATTGCTGCGTGGCCATCCCCCCTGGGGGGGGTGATTTCTCACTTTCTGTCTGTCTGTTTCTTTCTGGTGAGTGTACGTGTCCTATAGCAAAAACCTCTAAAAAAAAAAAAAAAGTTGTTCTGTGGGCAGTTTGTAACTCTCTAGAAATACAGACTCACAGTGTTCATACTGAGCTACAATGTCTCTCGGTTAGGAACCGTGGAACTGTCTTCCCGCTTAGTCAGTTTCAGAACCCCAGGCCTGCCATACGAGCCACTGTCCCTTGGTCAACGGAGCAGCTACCATGTTGTTTCCTCATCCATAAAACAGTGGAAGATATTAACAGTGGAAGGAACATGGCCTGTGGGTCCGAGAGTTAGCCCTGACCGTAGCAGGGAGCTTTCTTGAGATTATGTGATATATTCTATTCCCTCAAATTATGTCTTTATTTGAAGGGCCCAAAACCGTTTTGAGAGAGGCTGCACTAAGCCTGTGTGTTAGCCGAGGTGGCGTTAGGAGGAAGGACTGAGGAGGTTTTGGGGCAGAAGTAGAACCGGGGCCTCATCTCTTCCTTTGTTTTCCAAGACACTCGTGGGTATGGAACTGTGCAGAGGCCATCCGGCAGGGTGTGTGATGCTGTGGTAACAAAGCCCTGAAGGTCTCAGTGGCTTACAACCTGAAATACTAATTTTTCACTCAGGCTACACAGCCACTGCAGTCCACTCGCCTTTATTCTGGAAGTGAGTCATAGCACTGCTTCTGCCTGAGTATGGCTGGACTTCCGGCAGGAGACAAGAGAGGCACAGATAACGTCACTGACACTAAACTTTCTACCTGGGTTGTGACATTGTCACTTACATTCCATTAGCCAGTCAAGAGCCACACTGGGATGGAACAGAACAGGAACGCATAATCCCCCTGTGAAGGAGGTCCCAGGCCCAAGCTAGACGTTAGCAGGAGAATAAGAATTCCCGGTAACTAGAGTACTTAAGTAAAATTTGTTAACTAAATAATCTCCAGGAATCCATTCAGGGATAAAAGTTGGTCTGTGGGGACTTGGTAACGCGTGCATTTCTAGAAATACAGGCTCAGAGTCTCCATACTCAGCTGCCATCTCCTCTCCCTTAGGAGCAGCGGTATTGCCCGGAGGGAGAGGAGGAACAGCGAGAGCAATAGTGCACCCCATTGTCTGTCTGTAGTAACTGTAATAGACTGCAGGTGGACGGAGGAAGTCGCTCAGTTTAAAGTTCATTCTTAATTCATGGCATTGATACCCATTATAGATAAAAAAAAGAGAGAGAGAGCGAGCGAGGGATACATTTGCTAAATGTTTAGGCCCAAAGCCAGTGAGCCCTGAGTGGATGGCGAGCAAGACCAGCTGCAGGTGTGGAGGGAAGAGTTGGCTGCCCTGCGGTGGAGACCTCCGCCCTAACACAGATGCGCGGAGCCTGCAGGGTGACTGGATCCCACCTGGGCTGGGGCCGTGTTTGAGCCTGATCACCAGAGCACTAGAGTCACTAAAGAGGTGACTTGTTCGGGCTAGAATTGCCCTGTTCAGATCAACCGTGAGGTACTTGTAAGTAACGAGACCGCGTTTCTTACTTTTGATGAGTTGCACATGAGCAATTGAGGGACTTTTTCTCCCATGACCCAGAAGGAGCCTGAATGGTCTCCTCAGGCCCTCGGGCGTGGCGGGAACCCGCGGCTGGAGAGCCCTCCCGAGTCTCGGTACCGTGATAAACACGTGTGCGCTCTGGCGTGTTTCCAATGGTGCTCGGTGCTTTCATTTATCAGTAAACGCAGGGAGGTTGTTTACTCTCAGGCCTCACTTGCAGCCCTGTGCTCTCCACGGGGTGCACATGTGGAAGGTCACCGCCCTCCCTGCCCTGACCACCAGACCACCTGGAGGAAGTCCTTGCCGTGAGATGCCTGAATTGTTCGGGCTTAAATCGAGAGACCGTGGTCCTGCACCAGACTTTCTCCTTTCCTCTTCCACCCTTTTTGTTCACTCAGCTTTTCTGAATTTTTCTTCTCTACCCATACAATTTGATATGCTTTTATCAGACTATTTTAACTTGTAATTATTAACCTTTTGGTCCTGTTTTTGGGTGTGGTGGTTTGGGCGCCTTCTATTGGGCAAGGAAGCTTGCGTCCTGCAGAAATCAGGAGGCAGCATTTGTGTCTTCAGCCTACTGTCTGCATGCGAGTTCCTGACAGCCGTGGGAGTCGTGGGGGTGGGCAAGCAGCGGTTTATCATTTTGATATTGCATGGTGCATTTCTTGCACTGAATTCTTAGTTTTTTTTTTTTCCTAAGAATTATTTTATTTTACTTTATTTATTTATTTATTTATTTATTTACACCAGAGAGGGACAGAGTGAGAGAGGGAAAGTGAGAAAGCAAGCCACCAGGTCTGGGACTCAAACCATGGTCAACCACGTGAGAGTCCAGCTCTCTTAGCCACCACACCGCTTGCTGGCCCCTGAGTTCTTAGCTTTTGAGCATTATTGTACAGTTCATAGGATGGTGACGTCAGTCCCACTGAATGGAACGCTTTCATAATCCTTTCCCTCTCTTATGTAACTGTAAGACGCCAAGACTAGTTTTTCATATACACTGTTTGCTTAAACTTTCTATTATCCAATTTTTTCTTTGAATTATTTAGTGTCGATAAAGCAGATGATGAAGATGATGAAGATTTGACAGTGAACAAAACCTGGGTCTTGGCACCAAAAATTCATGAAGGAGACATCACACAAATTCTCAACTCGTTGCTTCAAGGCTATGACAACAAGCTGCGTCCAGACATAGGAGGTGAGCTGGCCCTGCCATTCCGGGATGTGGGCGACTGGGAAACGCCGTCACTGATGCTATTCTAATAACTCCCTGTTCTCTGAGAGCCCGATGTATGTCAGAGACCCCGGGGGGCTTGAGGATTCGTTGGCAAGGTTATCGCCTTTGAGCCATTCACAGTCGGATGAGAAGAAAGACACAAACATTTGAGATGTCGTTATTTTACAATTTTTGCAATAGAAGCTGCAGTAGAGTTCTGATAAATCTGCGTGAGAGGGCTGGGAAGTATTTCATAAAAGAGCTAGTATTTGAAAAACAAGGTCGGAGTTCTAATTTTGAGCCAATGCTGTAATTCTTCTTTCTCTTCATTTTCTCTCTCTCTCTCTCCTCTCTCTCTCTCTCCTCTTTCTCTCTCTTGTGCCCTCTAGGAGACAGAGAGAAAAAAATTAAAAGAGGGAGAGGGAGAGGGAGAAGGAGAAAGTCCCTCTGGTGGGGCATAGTCATGATGGAATCCCTTCTACAATCCCTTCTCCATTTCTTCTTCCTGTTGGGATTTGGGGCATGCACACACACAGGCACCAGGCATATTTGTCAAGCCATGTGTGTTAAGATTGGAACCACTGTCAGCCATGTGGGGTCTCATGCCCTTTAACCATTAAGCCCCAGTGCCTGCCCATATCTTGTTTTTATGCCAAAATGATTTTGTCTTGCCTTCATTTTAGAATATTTCCAGTGGATAATGGAACCCCAAACGTTATAAGCATCCCCCTATTTCTCCAGGCTTTAATGGTTTGTGTTAAAGAGTCCCAAGCAACAGTGATGCTGCTATTTTGAAGGGTTGATATGTTTTATCTTTGATGTTAGCATTTTGTCTTTGGTTTTCTCCAGTTTTACAGTAGTGTCTCTAGATCTGTTTTGTTTGGGTGTCTGTTTTCAGTATGAGTTGTGGGAGGGTTTGCAGGGCTTCTTAAGCCTGTGGGTGAGAATCTTCATTGCCTTGTGCATCTCCATGGCCTGGTGATAAGGGCAGCCAGATCCCACGTGGCTAATTGTACAGTTCTAATCCCGGACTCAGTGGCTTAAGAAACACTCCGTGTTGTTTGCTCTGTTGTCTGTGCGTGCATGCCCAAAATCCCAAAGAAGGGGAGACAAAAGAGGTGGGACTGTAGTGTGACCCAGTTCCAGGGGGAGAGGAGGACACTTTCTCTCTTCCTCTCTCTGTCACTCTCATGAATATTTGAACCTGCTAGTAATATATATATATATATATTTATATATTAAAGATTTTTTTTATTCCTTTTGGAAAATTCTTGGCCTCTATTTCTTCAAATACTTTCTCTGTCTCAGTTTCTGTGAAACTCCAGTTATAGAGGTTGTCGAGGTCTCCACCATGGTCATTATGTATGACATGGGCTTTGCTTTTTGTTTTCTTTTGGTTCTTCATTTCTTTGTCTTTCAAGCTGTTCTTTATTCCTGTTCTCTTTCCAGTGCAACAATTCTCACTCATACTTCCCCATGATTTCTAGATCTATTTCAGGTATTGTATTACACTTGCCATCTCTTTGTTTCCTTCTACATAGTAGCCACGGGTATGTAAAGTCTTCATCTCATAATCTAATATCTCAATCTCCTGTGGATCTTTTGAACATTTTTTTTTCATCTACTTTATGTCTCGCTTTAAGGTTATTTGGTTCTGTTTCATGGAATGTGTGTTAATGTTTCATTAAATGCTAGTAAGTATGTAAAACTAATGGAGATTGTAAGTGATGTGATTTCCCTCCAGACAGGATTTGATTTTGTTTGGGTAAAGGTAAATCAATGGAAAAATCACTGTCATTTGGTCAAAACTATTGCAATTCCCTCTGCAAATGTTCCTTTCTTCGAAGACACAGCCATTTGCGATGCCTCAGCTAAAGGCCTTTAGGTTTATACCGAGCCCCTCTTCTGGGTGGCTAAAACGCCTGGGAGTGGCTGAAAGCTCTCCGTGTCATCGCAGATGCTAGGCAGGATTTATACTCAGTTTGTCAGCATCATACAGTACACATTCAGCGAGGAATTGGCAAACGCTTTAGGGGAGGTCGCACACAGAATGTCTAATTCAATTCTTTGTGGTTTTCTCTTTTCCATGGAAGTCCTAGCTGTCTCGACGGATCTTAACTCCAATTTTTGTCTCTCCGGCCCAAGGAGACAGTTGTGGTCTCGGGCCACCGTGTCCTGCTCTGTAGCCTGCTGTGCAGTGACACAGCAAGTACAACAGGGTCAGAATGGCCAAAGAATAATGTGGACTGCACATCATTTCATTTTTATTTTGCCAGGAAACTGCTGCATCAGAGTCCTGTTATCTTAGAAATAAGTGATTCCTCCAACCATCTGAGTATTTCCTTTTTCAATACATTTTATAATTGCTTTCACTGGGACTCTCCATTGGCTACCAATACTCAGAGACGCAGAAGCCTGCACTTCCATCTTACTCATCATTGTCCGGCATATCCTTTGACTGGTTTCTTTCTGGAATGTACGCTCTCTACTAAGGAGAAATCACCATCTCCCTAGTCGCTCCAACAATGCCTGAAACATAACCTGTGTTCACTTAATATTTACTCTTGGCTGAATAGGATCCAGCCGATAAGACCCATTCTTTTTCATGTCATGTGTTGACATGTTGACGGTTGGTTTACTTTGTCCATTTTTTTATATTTATTTCAGATAAAATTACGAATGTTCAAGTGACACACACATCTGTGACACCGCCTCGTTAGTTGAGAGGATGAGACATGCCCTTGATACCTTGCTCATTGCAGCACGCTCAGTCACATCTTCTCTCAGTGCGTCTCAGAGGACATGGAGTCGAGGACTCATTCGCTTAGCTGAGCTCTGGTAGCATTCCTTTCTGTCTCAGATCCCTTAGTACATTTTCCTTTCTCTTTTCTTTCCTTTCTCTTTTCTTTCCTTTCTCTTTTCTTTTCTTTTCTTTTCTTTTCTTTTCTTTTCCTTTCTCTTTTTTTGTCTTTTCTTTTATTTCCTCTGTTCTTTTCTGGCGTTGCCATAGAGCCCAATGCACTTGCTGGAGAGAGGCAGAAAGAGTCACAGAAAGAGGGAAAGTGAGAAATGACCCCACATGCACCGGCGTGATTTCCAAACCGCCGGGTCTTAGACTTGAACCACAGCTGGTCATGTGGGAGTCCAGCACCGTAACCACCACATCACTTTTCTTTTCTGTTGTTCTTTGAAAACTTGTATAACCAACTTATTGAGAACTTTAAAACTTAGTGGGGTACTAATATGAAGGGGTTTTATCTGCTTATCTAGAAATCTGCAACTGCTTCAGGCTGAATATTCTTTATATTCTTTTCTTCTTTCTTAACAACTTTTCAGGTAGATTTTTTTGTCTTTCCAAACAGTTTCAGTTATTTAAATAGTTTAATGTAGTCTAAAACTTTAACATCCGGAGTTAAAGCTATTCCTCTTGGGTCAGCAGTTGTCATGGAGGTTAAAGCAACTGGACCCGTATGATTGACTCTATGGTTTTGAGTCCTGGACCCAGTAGCTTGAAAATCACATTAGGTTTGTGTGTGTGTGTGTGTGTGCGTGTGCCCAAAATCCCCAGAGGAGAATGACAGAAAAGGGATTGCACCATGACCATCCCCCCAAGGGGGTGATTTCTCACTTTCCTTTTGTCTCTCTGTCTCTGTCTCTCTCCACATGCGCTATAGAAAAAAAAAGATGCCATTTCTCTCTGCAAATACAGGGGACATTAGGCAGACCCTGTGTGGCTGCTCTTTTAGTTCATGTCTTTAACTCTTCAAGATGTCTAGTGACAAGGACGTGGGGAAACCCAGGGAGGGATGGTCTATGTGTTTTTACTGGGTATAGACCAACTGTTTCGCTGGTTGCTGCTTCTTTTTGGGGTAACACCAACTGGTCTTTGGTGAACTTTGAGGGGCAAACTATCAATAATGATGCCTTTGTTGGCAGGAAGATGTAAGTGGTCCTTGTTACAGTTCATCGGCATTCTATAGCATCCACTCCCTGGCATGGGGAATTTGCATGCCCTTTAATATCCTCCACCTGCCTCAGCTGCTGCTTCTTCTTCTTCTTCTCGTTCTTCTCCTTCTTCTTTTCTTCTTCTCCTTTTTCACTTATTTACTGACATATCATAGCTGATCTGTGTGGTGCCGTGTGATTGTCGAGTACAAGCATGTAGTGTGTACTGATCTGTCAGGGCGAGGGGTACGACCCTCCTCCCAGCCTCCAGCAGCCCAGAGTGAACATACAGGCCACAGGTGTGCAGCACTCTGGGCTCACATCTTTCGACGTCATTATTCTCCTTGGTATTCATTATATTCACAAGAAAATAAAATACTCTAGATCTGCATACCTACAGATCCTCCATTGATTTTTGTTCTTAAAATTTCACCACTCTTAATGTTCTTCTCTCCAACCAAGTGCCAGGACTGCTGCCTGAAGGGTTTAAGTACCGAAGGAGAGACCAACTTTTCACTCTCCCAAGAAGACATTTCCAATTATTTACATACATATATACATATATATATATATACACGTGCCTGTGTTTATATACATACACACACATATATATCTATACACACGCACACACACACACACACATATATATAAAAAAAATTTGGACTACATTGAACTATTTATATATATATAATATGCATATGTACATATACATGTATATAATACACATATGCACACATACTATATACCTTTCTATATAGTGTACGTGGATATATGTGTGTGTGTCTATATATATATATAGTGTGTCTTAATGTTCTTCTCTCCAACCAAGTGCCAGGACTGCTGCCTGAAGGGTTTAAGTACCGAAGGAGAGACCAACTTTTCACTCTCCCAAGAAGACATTTCCAATTATATACATACATATATACATATATATATATATACACGTGCCTGTGTTTATATACATACACACACATATATATCTATACACACGCACACACACACACACACATATATATAAAAAAAATTTGGACTACATT